AGCTGGTGGGTTGCTGTGGAAACTGGGCACACAGCCCCTGGAGCCAGGCTCCTTCGGAACAGCCAACTGCAGAAATCCCCTTTGTCCCGCTYGCAGCGGAGTCCAGAAGCTGGGATGTAACTGGGAGGTATGTGAGTTTAATCCTACTCTACCAAACAACATGAAGAGAAATTATCCCTGGACTTTGTCTCGCGAGCAACAAGACTATGAGCAGCGGGCAGCCAGATGGGGGCAAAACCGATTAGATAGCAGCAGTTTTCCCCACAGATCTCAGTCTAGGTAGCAGTGCAAATGGGTGCAGAAGAGATAACAACCTTTCCGGGTTTCTGTAGCATCTACAGTCTCCAGCAACGGACCAGGAACATGTTGCACTGGTAAAGACAACACAGAGAGAGCACATAGCTCCTACCCAGAAGAGTTTATGCACAAGGAACAGGAGCCAAACCTATAGAAAAGACATTGGGACACTGAGACCATGCACTTGGCTGTTGTCTCACCTCTTCAATGGTTTGATCCTTGCCAGAGTGTATGGACACATCTGCAAAAAAGGAAGATTTGCAAGTATGGCCAACTATACAGAAGGCAGCTGCAGGTCAAATAAGATGTGAAAGAAAAAGAGTTCTCAGACCAGTCTAAAAAAATTCCCTGAAGATTTTGGCAAGGAGGCTCTTAAGTTGTGTTGGGGAGATCCTCACCTCTCCAGGCCCCAATTCTCTGCTATGCCACACTGATGTTCAAGGATTTTTTTCCTTTGTGTCCACCTGGAAGTTCCTCTGTTACAACTTGTGCCTACCACCTTGTCCCTCTTCCGTCCACCTCTGAGAAAAGTCTGTGCTCCAACCTTTGCTTGTATGGCAGGTGCTCCATGCCCTTAAGCATTTTACCCCCAAGTAGTCTGCTGGGCTCTCTCCAGATTGTCAGCATCTTTACTGGGGTGACAGGGAGGGACAAAGCAGGACCCATTGCTCTGGATGTGGCCTCACAAGTACAGCACAGAGGATGAACCAGCACCCTTGACCCGCTGGCTCTGCTCTTGCTGCTGCTGCTCCTCAGCCTTTAGCAGGGACACCTGCTGAACCACATCACACATTACAAAACAGCGTGTCCTATCGACTGAAAAGAACAGGAAACTCATTTGAGAAGCGGTGTGCTTGGTTATTGACTAAAGAGATCAAGGCCACTTCTACTCCACTAGAGAAGAGCTGCGCTGATATGACTTGGACAACATTCTGGAAAGAGCAGAGCCAAAGGACACGGAAATAAAGGGACCTGCGAAGATGACAGATGCAGGTAGCAGTCACGTTGCCTCTTGGCACAAGTGTGCTGAGTGCCCTCAGCCCTCAGCACAGCACGAGTAGGGGACGCCTTGGCGTGTGGGTCCCCACATTGAGCGTCAGGGAAGGAGCAAGTGGGATGCAGCCCCTGAACACCCCAGGGTGCCCTCACACAGGATAACGTGGTGGCACCCACAGCACCCAGGACCTCTGCGTGGGCTCCCCACTCCTGGCCTCCACATGTGAGTGGAAAAGCCATGCAGGGGAGGAAAATATTTCCTTTCCTCCCTGCTTTTGGAGACTGTTTGCAGCTCTGCCGAGCTCGCAGGCCAGCGAGCTGGGCTCAGCCGCTGCCATGGAGGGACAGGCAGCCAAGTAGGGGAAAAGCTGCAACCGTCTGCTGCTCCGTGGAGCGTGAGTCACTGCTCTGCACGCAGCGGGACAAAGGGCAGCAGCCCGCTCGGAACTTCATCGCATGCTCTTTTTACACCGAAGCTTGTGCCAGCTTTGCTGGCCTGGGTAAAAATGCCATTTATCTGTCTTTCTCTGCCTTAAGCTTAGTCGGGATTAGCAGCCTGCATAGCCTTTGCCTTACTAACCGCTTGCCTCAGCCCTCCTGTTCCTGAGGGCAAAGGCCTCGCCAGCCCCACACTGCAGTGCAAAGGTATCAGCCGGCTCYGCTGCCCACTGCAATCCCCAGGGCTCTGTGTCCCGGGAGCTGAGATCCGGGCTCCCTGCACCAGGTGCTGCAGGGAAGCCCGACATTAACATGCTTCCCTCTGCCATCTCCTCTGTGCCCACTGACATACCGTGGTGAAGGGACGAGCCAGACCTCCCAAACCATGCAAAGATCTTTACACTCAGGTCTGGAAGGTGCCTGGGGAGGCTAATCCATTCCCGTGCCCCATGGCAGGAGCAGCACCCCCCAAACCACTGCTAGTGTCTGTCCAGTTTCTTGTTAAGGACTGCCTTCCTAGGCCATCCATTTAGTGATTCAATTTGCTTACACTTAAAAAAATACTCTCCTGTGTGATTTAATTGTCCTTTGATGCAATAGAACTATTGCCTCATGGATGGCTCGAGAGATCAATTTATTGCCTTCCTCTTGGCAGATAACCTTTCACTCAGTTCCCCTCTGTCACCTTTCCCCTGCGAAGCTGCTTCGCTGGGTTCCTCTTCAGAGACGCTGCTTTTCAGGACATTGGCTGTTCCTGCTGCTCACCTGTGGGTCCTGAGAGCTTCACGTGTTCCTTTAAATATTATGTTAGGTGCAGTAATAGTATTAGTAAATAGTACTTGTAGCCCTTGCCTGTGAGCAGAGTAGAAGGATTACTTTGTACGTCTCACATGTTTATCGTTCCCATTACAAATTGTACATGAGACCAGTAATTCAGAAGGAGAAATTCCTGCTAATCGTCGCTTCACGTATCGTTCAGGAAAAGACATTTTAGAGCTCCCTAGCTCTCAACACTGTTGCTGCAAGGGACRGACATTAGCAGTAAGCTACCAGCAAGAGCCCAGTTTTAATGGTTATTCCTGTTCCATCACCCCCCTCCCCAATGGGGACGCTATCCTTCAATCCCTGACATAACAGGGATCCACTGTCAGTAACAGACACTCATTGTTAATCAGTGTTAGTGATTCACCCTTCAATAATGAGACCCATCCCAGCAAAAGGCTGTTTACAAGATACTAAAATGCAGGTGCATTTCATGGTGCCTTTGCTTGTGCTGAGCAGAAGGCTCCAGCTCTCCTGCCTTGCACTCAAGGGCAGCTCGTGGCAGTGCTCAAAATGTCTTTTTTCCTTCAGTCCTTTCCCTTCTTCCTTTCTTTCCTTCATCATTTCCCATGCAGTGTGGCCAGGTACTCACGTAGCACATTCCCACTGTTTTTGTGATTGAAATTATAAATGATTTATGACAAACTGGACTGCGACCTTGCTGCTGTGAAAGGAAAGCTCTATAACCCCAGTGTGAATAGAGGCAATGTCTCTAGCAATATCATCCTTCATAAAATTCAGAGATGTAAGGAGGATTCCAGCTTTATCATCTCTTTTCTACACCCCCTTAAGTCACACACAGACACAGTGCCGTAGTCATCTGAGTTTATTGCTTGTACTCAAACAGCCATTGTTATTGCAACTGTTGTATTAGAAGAAGATACACAGAAAAGGCACTAAAAGGATTCTCTCCTTTGGTTTGTGTTTCTATTGCTTCAGGCACATAACATTTAGGTACATTAAACCACTAGCCCCCAGCTGCGGAGCACAAACGCGAGCATTAGTGTCTAACACCCAGTAAAAAAGGGCTACTCTTGTATGTTCCAGCCTGTGTAATGAGAAGTGGCTGAAAATTCCCTGCCCCAACTCCAAGGGTAGGTCCATCCCAGTCTCTACAGGAGAAATATCAAAGGCTGGCTTGAGCTTGCACCAGGCTGCCCAACAGCAGGGAAACAGCACACTTCCTGCACGGGGCACAGGGGCCACCTCAGGATTTTAATCCATTCCCCTTTATCTACAAGCTACAAGGGGAAAAAATAAAAGAAATCAGTTGGCAAACCAATGAAATATTTCATATGTGAATGCTCCCCTGTAAAGAATTCATAATGTAGTTTTTTTGCAAGAAGATAAAATTCTGCAGGCAGAGGGTGGCCAAGCCTCCCTTGCTAGATCACCAGGRCTCCTCTTACCCCTTCACAGCAGTTACTGCCCACTGGGCTAAGGATCAAACTCCGGCCAAGGAAGGGTCCACACATTGCCAGGAGCTCAAAGGCAAATGGAGTAAAGAACAAAAAATCTACTGTTAAAAAGGAGAGGAAGCCCTTGAAGGCAGCCCATTGCCCATTGCACAAAGCTCCAGTGTGAACTGGCAGCACACTCTGTTTTAGTGGTGCTCATTTCCATACTGAAGAGAAGTGCTGCTGGGGGCCACATTCAGTTTGCAGGCAYGCTTCACTATCCTGCCCAGCAAGCTCCTTTTGCAAACACTTCACTGGCTGGCTAACACTTTAGATTCAAAATAATTCCAAGCGATTTAAGGTAAACTACGGCACTGTAATATCAGGTCTACAGTGGTCTCCTTGTGATCAGAGTGGCATCCTTTAATTTCTAGTTACAGACAGGAGTCAGAAGCAATCAAAGTACCTTAGCCTTGGTTAGAGTAACCTCTGATCACATCCCCTGGCAAATTAAACAAGGAGTCCTTGGATCAGAAAGCAGCAGAACACGGAGGCCTAGCTCTGATGAAGAAAAGGGGTAATTTTTTCTCCTACCTGATAAGATTTTTTTCAGCTGCTGTTGGAACTAAGTGAAGTTAGGAAAACAAGGACTGCACTTCATGCAACTGTCAGACAGCAGGACACAGCATTTCTTCTATAACCGAGGCCAAACTGCCAGGCAAGGATCCCCAGATTGGTAAGGGATCAATAAAGTACAGTTGTAGGGCAAACCTGAGGCATTGATAAATGGTAGAACCCATTCAGCTGGTGAGCACACACACACRCACACACAAGAAGTCGTGTGGCCATGACGGAGGTAGAGAAGATCACGTAGTAATATGTGAAACATGAATGCCCAAATCCAGAAAACAAGCTTCTCTTCTCGGAAAGGATTCTGATAGTATCAAGTCCAGGTCCATTCCCTTCCCTCCAGGAACTTACACAGCTGGAAACATGCCCTTGCAGTCCTTCCAACTCAGCAAGCTTGGAGGCAGCCTTCTCTCCCTAACCTTCCAAAGCTCCTTATTAGACTGGAATTTCTCAAGTAAAATTAGAACAAGCCACATTACTTACCACAGTGTGATTAACGGAAATTAGCTGCACTTGGAATCACTGGGGCTTGGAAGTTAGGCTGTGTGTATAATGGGAAATTCAGTGCTAGTGAGGGSTTCCAGATTCACAACTTTGGAAACCCACTTCCCTGCAAATCATAATATTATCAAAATTGAGACAAGTTTATCCCATACATCATCCTTCAGCAATGCCATCACTCATGGCCTGCTGCAGGAATCAGAGTCCTTAGTCCACATTTTCAAAGGAAAAGAAGAAGGTGCTGGTTTCTTAAGGCACAAAGTGGTCCTCACTGGACTATGGATCCAGTACCACCAATGGGTGTCACACAGAGATCACTGGAAGGTTAAACAATGTCACTTTTTTTGGTTCCCATCACACTGGATTCAAACCACTGCCTATAGATGACAGAATCTCTCAGTCCAAATCAGTGTACTCACATATTATTTAAGACATTTTAATCACAGTCTCTAACTTGCCTGAGCACGTTAAGAAATTTGATTGTAGGAATCTTTGATTGGTGAATTCTACCTTTCCGGTGTAAACATGATTAGTTATGAGTCACAAACCTACTAGTTTTCAGTGCTATTTCATAACCCTACATTAAAATATGAGAACATTAATATTTCCTTATCTAGCAGCTATGTTCCTCTAGTGGCCAGGTTCCTGTTTCTGTTTGTGAAATATTATTCTGTCTTCTTCCAATTCCACTCCATTGGAGAGTGTGTCATAGTACCCAACTCATCTGCAAAGATACAGAGCAGAATTCACTTACTCGGAGGGCAAACCTCCTCTTGAGATTACTGTGAGATATCTTCATTTTTAAAGTGCTATATGGGAATAAAACCTGACAGAGAATCAAAGTTATTGGCTCATTGCACACTACGTGGCCCCTTTTATGTCACTGTTTCAGCTTCAGGTGTGGGCTTGCTAGCGTGAGGATCCCCACCAGAGAGGAGATGAGGCCACAGAAACCAACCACTCCTGAATTGGTCTTGTAGATTCCTAGTGTATCCAAGGGACCAGAGAGATCACACAGATTCTTCACCATATCTAGCAGCAAAGGAGGATGTCTTTTCAATATCTGAACCAGCAGGAGCAGAAAAGATGACAAGCTGTCAGATTTCAAGCAGCTGAGTTCCTGATCTTCTTTGTCCCAGGAAGGATTTTGTTTCATCGTTTTTTTCAACACCGCTTCCTCCAACCTCCAGTAGATCTCATACCAGTCTCTGGCGAGATTCATCAGCAGGGAAAAGTAGTAACACTTGGTAGCCCAGTTGTGCCACTTCTGCTTATCGATGTCAGGCTGGAGACCAACACTCTTCAGCCACAAGACCCCGTCACAGACAAAGTACAGGGCCCGGGTCACGTTGGAAGTGGTAAGGCAGAAGCGAGGAACCACATCTGGCAGCCGCACGGTCCTCCTGGCTGCCACCATGGCGTGCACCATGTTGCCCAGTCTGAACACTGCAAGAAACCCCAGAGAGGTTAGAATGAGCTGCCCTTCTRCACACACACAGACACAGCCCTAGGCAGGAGAGCTCTGCGTGTCACTGCCCACATACGCTTTCCAAAAACTCATCAGTCTTTGGGAATTCATACATTTAAGTGTCTTCTTTTTGGGAAAACTGTGAGCCCACAGGGTGAGGAACTAGTTTTTGTAAGGCATGGGATGCAAATATCTCAGGAATGTCCTGCAGCAGCTCAGGACCTATAGACAACTCTCAATAGCAGGTCCTGCAACCTTTGTCACCCGCTTCCTAACATGACCAACTGCCCCAAACAAGGCAGTGCCAGCAAGAGAGTGACACGAACAAATATTTCTAGGCTTCTCTGGAGGCTGGTGATTCATTCACTTGCAGATCATTGAGTCTTTCCTCAGCCATGAATTTTTCAGAGGCACATACAGTTCTCTGCAAGCAAGAACAGCATAATTCATATCTATTTACATATGCATACACATTTACATATACATAGACATAGATTTAGATGTTGTATACTATACAACAAGACTGATTTCATTCTCTGTGCTGTTTAGATTTCACTCCACGAATATTAATACAGCACTAGATGAATTCTGTCTCATAAGCTGMTGCACTGTAACAGTGACAGATATGGCAGTATCACATTTAGCGTAATTACAAGTGGCCTGAATTTAGACCTGAGGTCTGTTAGAGATTTCTTTATTATGAGCAAGAAAATTACAGGCATGGTGATAGCCTCTGTCCTAGAAACTATCATACTCCAGAGGTAATTAGAATAATAAAGCAAATGTAACATAACATATTAAATTAGAATATATGCCTTATAGACTAGAATTGTGTTAGAAGTGATTAATTGATAAGGCGGTGTAAGATTAACCCGAGAGCATGCAGTATAGCTGTAGCAACAACATAATAACTGATGCAGTTGTGATGGAGTTAAATGGTGCGTATGGACAGATCAGGAAAAAGTACAACAGGCTACATAATTTGGTAGAGTGTAAGTGTTGAAGAAAATGAGTATGTGAAGTAGGCTACAAAAACCCATATTGAAGGAGGGTCCCTCCGAGGTGCTTTTCTTGGGCTGACAGCCCTTGGCATTGACTGTCTCATGGCATTAGCCAGAAGGTCTCGCACGCCAGCCTTGTATCGCAACCCCCTGCTCTGAATCACTGAATCCTTAAGGCTGGAAGGGACCTGGAGATGATCTAGCCCAAGCCCCTGCACACGCAGGGACACCTGGAGCCCGTGGCACAGGCYGCGGCCAGGCGGGCTGGGAAGATCTCCAGAGCAGGAGGCTCCACAGCCTCTCCGGGCAGCCTGTTCCAGGCTCTGGCACCCTCGCTCTCAAGAAGCTTTTCCTTCAGCTCCTGCAGAACTTCTGGCGCTCCAGTTTGTGGCCATTTCCTCCGTGCTTTATCGGGGCGACACCTTCGATTGCTGACTCCTAACTCGCCTCCCCGGTTCTTCCAGCGGGATTTCACGTTGCCTCATCGGGCAGGAGGCTCGAGGGGCCAGACAAGCCCCGACATCCCCACCTATTCCTAAAGCCAGCCCGGAGCAGAGCCTGCTGGCGACTCGGGCGGCACGTGAGGAGCTCCAGGTGAGCTGAACCCCCAAACGGGGGTTCAGGGGCTGCCCAGACAGCAGGAGGGGGTGCGGACGGGCTGTCCCCACACGGGTACTTACTCTTACGGCCGGAGCTCATGCCGGACTCCAGCTGCCTGAGCTTCGCCACCAGCTTCCCCGCGTCAGCCTTGCGCTCCAGCACGTAGCCGAGCAACATGCACGAGTACTGCGTGGCTCTGCGGGCGAAAAGAGGGAAAAAGTGGAAAAAAAGGAGGAAAGCGGCTCGCAATGAAGCCACGGGGAGCGGCGGGAGCGAGCGGGGGGCCGGGGCGGCCGGGCACGGAGCGGGGGGCGGCTGCGGAGCCCCGGCCGCCGCACGGGGGGACCCGTCCCGTCCCGTTCCCCCCCCGGGGGTCCCGGGGGCGGCAGGGAGGACCCCGCGCTCACCGGAAGAGCTGGTCGCGGCCCTGGCTGCGGTTGGTGAAGTCCACGAAGGCCTCCATGGCGGCGGCGGCCCGCGGCTGCAGCGCGGCGGGTTCGGCGGCCGCGGCGGCGGCTCCTCCCCGGGGACGGCGCCGGCTCCGGCTCCGGCTCCCGCCGCCTCCCCGCCCCGGGAGCCGCGGCACCGCGCGCCGCCGGAACCCTCCGCCGCGGCGCTCGTTTCCCGGCGGGCGGCGCAGCGCGGCGCTCCGCCCCGCCGTTGCCAAGGCGACCGGTAACGCGCGGTGGGGCAGGTGAGGGGCGAGCAGCGCGGTGTCCCCTTTAAAACCTTCCCCCGCGGGGCGCCCGCGTTTGGGCCCGCCACGAGGCTCCGTCCCAAGAGGTCCGGTTAGTCTGGGAATTTGCTGGGAATTTTCAGCTCCGGAGGAGCCCGCGCCTCGTGCGGCAGCGCCCAATAGGGCCTGAGCTCCCAGTGGCCGTGGTCATGGGCACGCTGCAAACACTGGARTTAAGAAATCAATGATGTGCCCAGCGGCTTGAATATTCAGCCCAAGCTGCAGTGAATTTACCTGTTTGCAAAGTTATTAGTATTTTTATTGCAATTTATTTCAGGCTGAATAAGTATTTAATGAAGGGCAAGCCCACGCTTGCAAATATTTTGTCCTAGGTTGGAATACAAACTGACACCTAAACTTTCACCTTTTCACCCGGGTGTTTAGCCCAGGGGTGTTGGCACTGCAGTATTCCCGGTGCCGGGTGAAAACACGAGCAACAGAAGCAGTGGAGCAGGTAGAAAAGGGCTCCATAAAACAGACCTGCTCCGACTGCCCGCCCGGGCCCCCTGCTCCCCTGCCAGAAATCATTAACCTCCATTAATCACCCTTTCTTTTTGGTTCCCTTTACCTCATGAGCGTAGATATTGCCAGGTTCTTCTGTCTTCTGCACCTGCTGGGATCACTGCATCTCTGGTGTGCCCAGGGAAGGCAGAAAGATGCCCGTGTACATCCGGAAGCATCCCCTGGAGATTCCTCCCCCATCGGAAAGGGACTGGATAAAGGAGGAGGAGGAAGGTTTCTTCCCGCAGGATCCCGATCGAGCGCTTGCCGCGTTGCCGCAGCCGGCCAGGATGATCAGCAAACTGGTGATGCTGGTTTTTGAGAATGCTATGGAGATCGTCGAAAGAAGAGAGGCGCTCCAAGAAGCACAAAAAGGCAAAGTCCAGGCCACAAAATGCTCTCCCACAGCCGAATTCCAGGTAAAGAGCGCCTTGCAGCACTAATTCCCTAGCAGCTTTTCTTGACAATAACCATTCAGCTGGTTTTTACATCCTTCCCTTCATCACTTCCCTCAGAATCCACCAGCGTCTCACCTGATTCCTTTCAAAAGGCAGCAGCTTCTGAGCTTGCTTGACAGGTTCTGCTTCCCACCCAGCTATCACACCTCTCTGAGAAGAGCGTGGCAGATGTTAAACAGCACCAGATTCACCTTCTGCTTCYCTGCCTGGCTCCACCCTGCTTTGCTGGGGAGAAGGCAATTAACCAGTAGCATGTAAATGGACACGCTCAGATGTGTGATCCAATGATATCTGGCAGCAGAAAGGGGGGTACATGGTTTTGGGGGTGCATGAGGACCTTCTCCCTCTGTCTGCAGAGGTAACTAGAGGCAGAGCGTGTCTGCTGGCATCCTGCATTTGCCTAAAAATGGGAGAAACTCAGCATCACCTTGCCCCTTGTGGGCCTTACAGCCCCTCCTGTGGATCAGAAAGGGAGGGATGGGAGCCAACTTTCTCATTCCTGACACAGACCCATCTCTGTGATGGGACATGAGGCACATTCACCCTCTTCCACTGTCCCCTCTGCTCTTTTAATGAAAGTTTATGCAATTTTTTTCCATTGTAGAGTAAATCATTGCTTATTGCTGGTGAAGGTTGAGATGTGTGATTGACATATTTCCCCCTGGGGAGCTGGTGGGGTGCACTCATCTTCTCCTTTTCTTGGTAGGTGACAGGAAGAGCCAGCTGCCTTGCAGCCTCTGGAAAATACATCTTTGTTGGACTGTCCATGGGTCTGGCTGTCTTCCAGGTGTCTGACTGTAAGCAAATCTGTGCTTGGGATACAGCCAAGACAGAGATTTGTGTCATCCGTGCCTCGGCCTTAGGGGATGAGCACCATGTCCTGCTTGCTGTGGATGAGCTGGGTTAGTTGGCCTTGGATTTCCTTGAGCTGCGCGCTGGGGCAGCTACTTTACAGAAAAGCACTAAATRAGCAGGAGGGATGTGAGCCTGACTGACAGGTTTCTTAGAAAGCTCTGTGAAGAAGGAGGTTAGATAATAGGTGGCAGGGTGACTGTGGCCCTAGGGCCTTGGGATTAGTGAAGGGTGTGGGCTTGGTGTCCTTCCCTGCGGAGCAGCAGGGGTGGGAGCAGAGCTGAAATGTGCTGCAGTAAATGTTGGTAGTACCGTGGACCACGCAGAAAGTGTTGGTACCCAAAGGTTCCCGCCTGTTCGTTCTTTCAGCATCTGTAATTGCAYCTCTCTACTACAAATCCGGTTAGTGTAATACATCTGAAAGCTGTCATTTTTTTTTGGTGGAAATACTTTTCAATTTGGTGGATCCATCTACATGTATGGCCAACTGCTTGCGAGTGTTGACATAAAGAAGGCAGTGGAAGTTCAGKGCTGGAAGCAAGGGGACATTCTTCCTTGAGCCCACAAAACTATGTAACCCTCTTCACTCTCCCACATGTATTGTCACAGCCATCTCCCAAGATCTTGGCTGCCATCTAGTCACTCTCCTTCTACTACTACTTATGTCTGTATTTCTCCTCCAGGGTTTGTTTGGCTCTTCTGCTTTCACAAGGACAGCTTCCTATTCATTAAAAACTTAAATGAGGTGGTAAGTAGTGAGTTAATTCCATAGACTCTGGGCAAAAACTGCTAAGTAATCAACTGTGATGAGTACTAATTACTCTTCAGAAATACTCTGAGGTGGACAGCAGCAGCTCCCCAGGAGAGCACGGGACGGGAYGTGTGACAATGTCATCTGTCCCTGTGTTGTTACCAAAGTCCTCACTGAAGGCAGGCATCCTGGAGTTGCATGCCAGCAAAGGCACCTCCTGGAGATCCCTGGTACCATCATTTGTGACCCAGTAGAGTGAGTCTTCCTTTACTAAAGGAGGTGATTTACGGAGCTGATGTGTTCCTAAGAACACAAAGTGCAAATGAAAAAGTGTAAAGTATAAATCATAAAGCATAAATCTCTTTCCCAATCTCCAAGGCCTTGTCTGGTGTTAAATTCTTGTGGTGTCTGCTTTTTCTTTGCACTTCTGTGGGATCAAGCCTGAGCACTAATTGCTTCCCACTGATTTCTCTCCGTTTTGCTGTAGTGCATGTGCTGGAGCCTCCATGCACCTTTGAGGGCAGCCTGAGGTAGGGCCCCTCTGAGCACCTCTGAGAYGCTTGCATAGGGCACAAGTAGCATTGTCACCTCTAGACGGTGCCACCAACCCAGGATCAACTTAAAGCAGAGAGCACTTTCCTTATCTCCATCCTCCTATGCCAGTCCTCTGCACATGGGATAGGTAGTCCTGTTCTCCTGGCAGTCTGCCTTGCCTTCACCCATGTTGAAATGTTGAAAGATGTGGAGTTCTCTGAATCAGTAACCTTGCTCTCATGCCAGCCCTCTGTTCCTTGGCAGGAGGATATCAGCAAGCGAAGTACTTGCATGGAGGTGGTGCTTTCCCAGGGAGGTGATTACGCCGGAGTCCTGCTGCAAGGCAAGTGCAGGAGCGTGGTGTGCTGGATGGCAACTGTTGTGTTCTAGTGGAGGGGTCTAGAAGCATCGATTCTGCAGTCAATGCTTTTAATATGCTGTGTGTGTTCTGGGTACCTAGGGTTTCTAGTGCTCAACCACCTAGTCTTTTCCTCCAGCTCAGAGAGCTGCTGCTGYTCCCTATCCTCTCCAAAAGGCCTGGTGTGGTTCAGCACTGGTCCTAAATCTGGCTCTGGGCAGTGCAGTTCTCAAGGCTTCCAGAAGGCTCAAGGAAAGCAGGTTTCCATCTTGAGGATGTAAAAAACTGCTCGCCTGAAAACCCTTTCCTCCTTATTTCCAGTTGCTCAACACAGTTTCCCAATGCAGGCAGCACAGAAGCTTGGCTGGACATCTACCGATTGCCTAAGGATTCCTGGCTGAAGGAGAGAGAAAACAGYCCAGGAGCTGCAGCAGGGTTGGCTTTCAGAGACAGAAAGTCAAGCCAGGGATCTACGGTACAAAACAGTTTCCTACTCTGCTATTTTCTCTTATTACCCTTTTGCTTACAGGTCTTTCATCAACTCTTGCTCCTGCAGACAGCGACAGCAAGATTCAGGCTGAGCAAGTCTGTTAGCCCAAGGGAATAGCATGTATTTCTGCAGTTTCTACAGCCACCCGTCCCATGTTTCACAAGGGCTTCACATTATTGGGAAACGTWGCCTCTCCCAAGACAGGCTTTCCAAGGAAGTTCCTTTGGTCCCAAGACTTGCGTTCCTGCTGCCCCACCCTGAAACTGCCAGCTCCTTTTGCAGCAGTGTTGCCCCATGTGAGGAGGCCATCTCTRGGGGGATTCCCTGGGGCTTCTGTCTTCCCTCTTATGGTGTGTTCTGGAGGGTGAAAGAGCAGCGTTGAGAATCAGGCCTGTTATCAGCACTCAGGAGTCTGGTCCTGGCAGTCTCTCTGACATGCGTTCATATTTTAGATTTCCAAAAAGAGCCTGTTGGCTTGTAGCTGAATCCACTGGTACAGGATAGGGTTCTTGTCTACCCTCAGTCAGCCTGTTTGAACTAACCCTCTGCCTTCTTCCACTTCGGTGATAGAAAAGTGGGGAGCTGTGTAGAGAGGATTCTGCAAAGCTGGGAACTGGCCTCAGTGAACGTCCTGAGCTGCTGTGGGGAATTTTAAATACTGAGTCAGTGCTTAACCTTCTCCTACATCGCTTTCACCCTGCCAGCTCATTTCTCAACACACAGACACTGTCTGTCTCATACCTCCAGTTAACCCTCTGTAACATCTGCCTCACAGTTCGTCCTTTTTTTTTCAGCAGCATTCCTGGGGATTTAAGAGGGAGCTGCTACTCAGCCCTGTGTCTGTGCCASTCACAGCCCCCTTAAATTGCCCCAAAATAAACACACTCTAAGGCCTTCCCTTTTTGCTGAGCTCCTGTGCTCATATGAGGTGTGCAGCTCCTACCTCTTCCTTYTCAAACTTACTGCCCTGCTTAGCATGACACCTCTCTGGGTTCAATGTGTGGGTGTGGGGAGGAGACACCAGTGCAGGTCCCGGGTAGATTTCTCCACTCCTGACTATCTACAACATTCTGCAACCTTTAGTCCCATCCTCTTTCTTGCACCCCTTCTGCCAAAAGGCTGCAAGGCTACAGCCTTTCTCTGCCCATCCAAGCCAGTGTTGCAACAAGAGACATTCAAGGAGATCAGGGAGATTGAAGCAGAGCACAAGGAAGAGTTCCTTTGTAGTGTTGTTGGCAAAGTATTAAGTGGTGACCTCCCTCAAGCTCCTCTGTATTGGCTAGAGGAATGAGGCTAAAACCGGTATCTTCTAGGCAGTGTTAAGCCAAGCCTTGTGTTGTCTGAAGTTATTGGGACACATTGCCTCTCCCAGTACAGGCTTTTCAAAGATCCCTAGTCCCAGGGCTAGTATTTCTGCTGCTTTCCTTGAAACCACCAGCTGCTTTTCCAGCAGTATTGCACCATCTGAGTATATGGGAGCACCCTACTGCAGGAAATATTAGATTCTCAGGGACTTCTGACAGGTGAAAACTTTCAGCATAGGCCACAACACAGCTGCTGGAAAGCCAGGTCTCAGGCTCACTCTCTCTTGCAGGAATCTCTTCTGTCTATAAGCAAAACTGATGCAAAGCTGGGTCTCCCAGTGTTGCTGCTGAAAGTCAAGCCACCAAAACCTATTACAGGTGAGGGTCTGTTTGTGCATGCTCACCCTGCATCCTTCTGTAGCTGGCAAAGAAATCAGGGCCCTTACATCTATAAAACAGGGTAYTTAGAAAGTTTCAGTAACATGCTTCCTGATCCATTCCTGCCTATCTCTATAGTTACCTATAATGGGAATTATAGGTATCTATAATTATCAGCTAGCACACAGTATACTGCTCCTGTTAGCACAAAACACTGTAGTGTGCCTGGAAATGTATTTCATACAGCCTCAGCTTCATCGCCACCGGAGAAGGAGCAAGCTGTTTGTTTCCTGTTTCCCAGCAGTGTGGCAGCAGTATCAATCCTCTCTGACTCCTGGATTCATAGGAACAAGCTGAAGTTTTAGAGAGGAGGATGGGGAGGGAGTAACCTTATGCTGAGGATGCTGTCATTGAACTTGCCACAAAAAGGCAAGATGAGATAGATCCTCATGTAATTTGGCCTAATCCTTGCCTTCAAATAGCTGGAAAATGGGCTGGTAATACAGAAGGTTCACTGAATGAACCTTAATTAGAAAGAACTGTAACAGTAAGGTGAAATGTGGCCCTTTTCACAAAAATCCTATCCTGAAGTTGGGATTGTAGAAGTGTTTCAGGGATCTCCCGAGTCTCTGTGGTGTCTGCTTTCATTTGTGTTCACAATCCAGGAAGCARCTTTAAAAGCCCTTTGGATGCCTTGATGAAAGTGGATGATGGCAGCGTATTTGGCTTGGGGCACAATCACCTGATCAAGGATTCCCAGTGGGAGCAGCGGGAAGCAATCTTCCGGAACACTTATCAGGAGTACCTGGAGGCTGAGAGTGAGAGCAAGGATGAGATCTCCAGGTGAGTGAGAACTCCAATCAGCATTTTAGTTCATGAGATGTGCATGCAGGACACTTTCCAAGGGTAGGAACAAGCCTCTGATTTAGGTCTCCTTCCTTCATCCCAAGACTCCAGGGCAGGGCCAGAGTCATTCCAGGTTCTGTTGCTGTGTTGTCTAGTTATCAAGGCCTTTCTTTTGCATCTATTTCTCCTTTCCCATTTCAGGCATGCTACCTTGCATTTTCTCCTGCCGAGTCGGATCCTACAGGTGGGACCTGAAATAAAACTACAGCCAGGTAATCCAAATGGATAGAAAGATGTTAACCCATGGAATTCATTGCTGCATGACACTGGGCTTCATTTCCATCCTAATGGCTCTTGCTTGGTTTGACTTAAGTTAACGCTATCCTCAAGGATGAAAGCCTGGATAAAAATGCCAGCCCTCAGATGTAAGTCAGTCACTGGTGTGCAGTCAGACTTAACCCTATAATAAAGAGAGGAGGAAGCACAAAGACAAGGAAGAAGTCACTAACAAGGGAGGAATTGTTCATACTTTGGGCTCTGTGTGAGCAAAGTTCAGATACGTCCTGTCAGAGAAACCTTGAGAGCTGCAATACTGAGGTCTCCTCCCATTATTTCCTAATGGTGTTTTGGAGTTGCTGGATTGCTGCTTGTCCCCTGATCTCCTTTTTTTTTGTCACACTCTCACTATTTTCAGCTGTACCAGCTGGCATCAGTGTGCACTGGGATGGAAGCCACAATCTCTGCTTATATTTGCTTAACCGTCCATTCAAGGAGAAAGTGGGTAAGCAAAAGGAACAAAATTAGGCTGTTTGTCCAGACTTGTGACCAGAGGCTTTCACATTAACCCCTGTGGCAGGGGAAATTCCCAACTGCTCACAAAGGTCTCACCCAACAGCACCCAGCACTGTTAAGCTGCCTTTTTCCTAGCTGTGTGTGTAGGAGGGGAATCTTCCTTTTTTCACAGCAGACTTTTGTGAATTTTCCTTAACTTTTGGATTTGGTCATTCACTGCAACACAGTGCACACAGCCTGGTGGGAGGGAAGGGTACCAGGCCCAGACTAGAGGGCGTTATTACCTCACGTAGATATAGTGCAGAGGATGGAGGCGGTTGTCAATAAGTGCAGCTGTGTAGCTGGAGTCTTGCTTTCCTTATCAGGAGACTCTGGGGGGATATTCAGAGGCTGGTAATTGTCACTTAACCAGACCTCTGTGATTCAAGTAATGGGGGAAGAGACATTCCCTGTATCGTGTGGGCTAGGCTTGTATTCGAGTATTCCACAGTTTTTTGGGCTGGCACTATCCCTAATGAAGCCATCCTGGCAGGAGACCCCAGAGAACACTATTTTCCCAGTCAAGCCTTTTTCTGTCCTGCTGTTTAGATGCTGATCCGAAGCCTGAAGTTGTGTGGCCATGTGCGGCTCCAATCGCATGCTCAGCTGTCAGCTCCTGCTGCAGGTAYCTGGCACTGGCATGTGAAGATGCAGCAATAACTATTTGGGATCAACACCTAGGTGAGCTTGTGTTTTGGTCCTGTCCATTGGGATCACGGAGGATTGCTCCTTCGCTGGGAGTTTGAGGCTTTGAGTGAGTGTGAGAGGGAGATTGCAAATGAGTTTACAAACARATCTTCCAAGTCTTCAGACTTATTTGTTCACAAGAGGCTGGAACAGCTGTTGCCATCATGGCAAAATGATTGTRTTAGCTCCAGCAGAACCATTCCCATCCATGGCATTGCAGGACTTACGAACTGCAGTAGTGAGAACTGACTCTCATCTTTCCCCTGAGAGTGTGGGACAGTTGCTTCTTTCCAGCTGCAGCCTCAGGTCATCTTTGAGATTGAGGCTACCATCAATGCTAGTGTCACTTGGCCCTTGCAGAGATTCTCCTGTCAGAAGAATCTTCCCTTTCCATCAGCACTGTCCTGGCAGTTGTTCCTGAGCAGGTCAGAGACTAAATCAGTCCCCCAGAGGCTCCTGAAAGGAACCCGAGGAGGCATCTTACTGCACTGTAGCCAGAGGTGCAGGCAAAATGAGGGACCTTTCTGGGTCCTGGTCAAGCCTATAAGGATGCYACATCCTCTAGTAAAGCTTTCCTTGGATGAGTTTCTGGGTCTTGTCAAACTTTTGCTGTGTTTTATTTATTGATTTATTATTCTTTTTTCTGCCTCTTCAGGATACCCATTGAGTGTGACTGCCCTTCCAGACGAGCATGYCATCCGCAGTATGCACTTCCTGCGGAGCGCTGCAACTGCCGGTGACCTTACCAGACACCAGGCACCTTACCCTGGCCCAGATCCTGCCCATCCTGTTGTGCAGCTTCTCGTGCTGTGTACGGATGGGTCCCTCTACTTGGTGAAAGCTCCTCGGGCTGGAAAGTCCAGCATCACAGTCCTGGCAGACAGGTGAGGTTGACCCTCCATCCTTCACTCCCGCCAAAGACACAATGTGATACAGTGGCCAGCCTCAGCAAGGAACTCCAGATCTCCATGGGATGGAGAGCTCTCCTGTTCTCTTAGCCCAGAYATCTCTGCCCTGCAGCAACAAATGTGACTGGTCCTAGTTCTGAAATCTAGTGGTGGTGCCAAATAAGGGTGTTCCKGAGAATTCCTTTTTTATTAAGACACAGGCTCATACCACTGGCCTGAATTTCTGCCAGGTACCTGCTAGCTACCCAGGACATCTTTTTTCTCTTCTCTCTTCTAGACAGTTTTGCACAGGGACAAGCCTTGGGGATCTCTGTTTCTGAGGAGGAGCAGGCCCTGTCTCCATAGGGAAGTGGCTTGGTTGAATGTTGTGCTAGACACTGSTATTATCATTATTACAGTGTCTTAGTGACATATCAGATCTGCATGAAGCAGTGCTATTAACTTGAATCTCTTTTACAGGCCTGAGGATCCAAAGCTCGCCATCAGCACCGTGGCTCCTATCCTGGCCTTCCCCAGCACAGTGAGTGTTACTGCCAGCCTCCCTTAAGAGCAAAAGTACAGATGAACTGTGGAGAGAAAAAAAAAAAGTTTCCTGGAATGGGAGGAAAGGGACTAAAACCTTCTTGCAAGAGCTAGCCAGAGCAGAAGGCCAAAATTAGTTCAGCTATAACTTGCCCATCCCAATSCTAACCCCAAAGTGCAGCAATTCAAGTTCCCTACACAGCCTGTTCTTCATCTTCTATGGCCCTACAGTTACAGAGCAGACAAAGCAAACAACATGACAGTCAGGGACATCAAATCCTAGATACTGATCCCTACTCATCTGAGGAAATGCTGTTCACCCTTCTTGTCTCCCTCTCTAAGTGTTATCTTGCTGTTTCAGGCCCTGGTCTTCTCCTGGGATGGCAYAGTGTCCCTGATGGACACTGCCACATCACGTACTATTTGCTACTTCAATATCCCACCTTCCTATGCTGTAGCATCCCCCTGGCAACCAGTGTTCACCATGGATCCTGAAGATCAGTGGCTCATCCTTCAAGGTGGGTAGTCAGATGCAAAGTAGGACTTTCAGTCAGGTGTTAGTGAGAGCAGAGGGGACTGGGCTGTGTTTCTGGCAGGGTTGTAGCAAGGAGACACATCAGTTCATGCAGTGTGACTGGTGAGTTAATCGAGGGGATACAGGAACTGTTCAGGCCTGATTTAGCCATGATGTATTGGTATGTTTCTGCTCACAGCCCTGTTGTAATCTCCAGGGAACTGCTCATCACCCTCAGCTAGGATAGGATGGCTTGAGCCATGGGCTGAGAACTCAACTTGGAGACTTCTCTTTTTACTACTGGTGAACCTGAAACAATTTTGGGTACATGGTTATTGGGTTGAGCACTGCATTGATCCTTGATTTTTTTCCTCATTGGATGACTCCTGATGAAATACTCCACTATTCTTGTCTCTTCTGTTCAGGAGATAAGCAGCAGGCAGGTGTASTGGCACAGAGCACAGCAAGTCACAGCTCCATCTTCATTTTTGACTTCAACTCCTACCTGCTACAGGAGTCTTTTCCAAGGGAACTGGATTTGCCTGATAAACCCTTACAAGACCTGCCATGGATTGAGAGATGTAATATTTTCTTCCGTGATTGGTAAGATTTTCCTGTTGGTGCATCTGGATAGTTGCAAGCTGAGATGTTGCTCAGGTCCATACAAGGTCTCACTGTAGAGCCCTAGGCTCTTCTACGCCCTAACACAGATGTGTGTTTGGGTAAGGCTGGTTTCCTGCCAGCCCCTCATGATACTTGGCTCTTCCTCCTCCCATTTCTGTCTGTCCCAGAATARCTTGCAGCTGCAGGTCAGGATGTGTGGGGCAAATCTATTATTCCAGGAGGGGAGAGCCCGCTAGTTTTCATATGCTTTTGTGCAACCCAGATTGTGCAAGGCCATCAGGGAGTATGATCTTAGATGCTTGTCTTTCTTTTGGGCCCATAGACAGCGGGATCAGGGATCAATTTGCACCTTGTTACTCCTCTGCATTAATGGATTTGCTTGGTTTCTAAGTAGACTTGTGCTGGTGATTTCTCTATTTAAGAAGGCTCCTGGCACCTTCCTGCTGAGCTCGCAGTGCGATCTGTGCCTAGCTGATGCTTTGAGTTCACGCTGTCACTAGATGGCAATGTGACATCTCTTAAGTGACTTTTCCCTAAATTTTCTTTTGTGAACTTGAAGCCAGAATCATGCCAGTGACATTCTGTTCAGTCTTATCCTTAGACTTTAATCCTCTGATTTGAAGTGGTACAGGTAGGTTCAGGCATCACCAAAGCATCATACTACCCACAGAGGGTAGAGGCAGAGTCGGTGGGAGAGACTGTTCTAACCCCTTTTTCTTCTCCTTATTAGGCAGCAGAGCCTGCAGGGACTTGGGGAGCAGATGCCTGAGTATTGGAGCCGACTTCAAGCACGTGCAGCTGCCATGGACAGAAAGAGAGAGAGAGAAAAAGAAAGAAAAAGTGAGGGGACAGTAGAAGCCGTAGCCAGTCTTGCATCTCAGGGGTAGGCTCTTTATTTTAACAGTCCTGCAGACCAGTAGCCCAGGAYTGACATTTGAACACCAGCTCTGTGTACGTCCTGCTGCTTTCCAGCCTGGAGCAACTTGTCATCTGGCAGTCAGTCCCCTGCCTGCTACTCACACCTGCTGCTTTGCAATAGGATCTGTGCCCTGCTTTTCTTAGCTAACCCTCAGCCAGTTCCAGCAGGCATCAGCTCTTCCTCGTCAGAGACAAGCACAGTATACAGGAYAGTTTTGAGGTAGGAGAGGCCTTTTACCAAGGTGGTGGTCCCAAAACTTATGTAGTTTAAGGATTTATAATGGATTTTTGAGTCTTCCCAAAGACCTGAAGCATCAGAACAATATGATGTGTTACAATGTCCCTCCTCAATAAAGTGTTTTGTCTAGTGCACGTCTCCTGTACTTCACAGGACTGGTATTTTACCAGAGTTGGAYGCTCTGACTTTGCCTTTGCATTTCACTAGAGTGCCTCATCTTGTGCTTTGACTCAAACGGACAGGCAGCAGAATTAGCAAGAGACCTGGTCCTTTTAAACCAGCAGTGTGGCTGGCATCATCCAGAGCATAGCAAGATAAAGCAGCAGTGATGCTGCAAGGTGTGTTATGATCCATCCAGCCTGTTCCTCAGTGTAGCTGTTTCTTTTGACTTGAAAGCTTTGGGGCAAGACACTTAGAGATTATAGTCTGGACACAGCAGTCAGTTTTACTGATTAAGATTCGGCTAGAACCAGTGTCAGAGTCAAATATTCATGTCGCCGAGGAGCTGGGCAGGAGCTTGAGTGCCCAGAAGAGCTGTGTTACATTGAAGACAGTCCACAAGCATGACTAACATACTGGTCAAAGGCCAAAAATCTGCAGATAGCCCAGACRAAGTACCAGGCAGGGGTGATGCGAGACCAAGCACCTTTGTCTGAAACAAGAACTGATTTCAATGCCACTGAACTGGGGTTGACTGCTCCCATCAGTGCTCAAGGGTGAGCTGCATTTGTCTCAGTTTTCCCACTGATGGGCCCTGCCAGGAGTGCAGGCAGCCATCACTGTGGAGTGCAGGCACTCGGCACAATTTGAGCTCTGTAGACTYTTCTATGTCAGGGGCCCATTTCAGGATTTTTCATAGGAAATTGTCTTGTTCTAGATTGAGGTTTGATGAGAGGTCTTAGCTCATCTTCTGGACGGTGAAGGCAACCTAGTCTGTTCTAGAGACAGGAAACGAGAAAAGCATTATGCTTGTTTCATAGTTTCAAGATGCTTTGATTTGCTCTGGAGAAGCACAAGCTGTTTGAATAGAAACCCTCCCACTTGGGGAAGGCTCTGTGGACCATGGCAAAGTCCTTTGTGCTACCACTTTCCATCTGCTGCATATTACAACTCCATAACTCATCTAATTGTTCTGTACTTTGATGGTTAACACTCACCATCTGCTTCAGTGCAAAGTCAGGCTGGTAGCTCAAAGCACCTTTAATGCCTATTTAAACTGGGCCACCTAGTTTAGCACTAACTGTGGTGATTTAAGAAAAAATGGATCTTCTGCCATAACTGGACACAGGGGATTTACTCTAGGGAGGAATTCCTCTTCCTACATTGCTTCCCATGCTGCTTAGAGACAGCATAACAAATATACAGCCCCTTGAACAGCAATTGGTATAATCCCTGTTGTTTGTCTAAACGTAAAGGTCTGGGAGATTTATGTGCTTTAATTTTAGCCCATCTGCTTTCTATCCAGGAAAGGAGTAGTGCTTGGCTAGCAACTGAAGAAGGGGCAGGATAGGATCTGCTCACAGAATCTCGGCATGGTTGAGGCTGGAAGGGACCTTTGGAGATCATCTAGTCCAACTGCCTCTCATTCAAGCAATGTTACTAAGAATGAGTTGCTCAGGACCATGTCTAGACAGCTTTTGAATATCTCCAAAGACAGAGATGCTCTAACTGCTAGAGCAGCTAGATGTACCGTGTGATCCACCAGTTTGTGTATTTGTCTCAAGATGCTCTTGTTTGTTTGCAGTCTGAATTTGCTGTAAAATGCTAATCACATACTTGGCCGGGATATCCAGAAGCTGGCAGGCTCGAGGGGGAAAGGAAAACAACAAGCAGCTGCAGGAGGCTGATGAAGGGCCTTAGTTTTCACTCGAGACCGTTTGTCTCTTGCTCTTTGAAGGGCTACAGAAAAAATGGTATGATCAGCGTGTTGACATGTGCATGGGTGCTGGAGCTGTGCACTGATCTTCACAGCCCATTCCAGAGAAGATCAGAGGCATCTGATTGCTTATGCCAAAGATGATACCCTTTCCAGAGAGTTTTCCCTTCCCAGTCACTCAGTGAGCCCTAGGCAGCCATAAGCCTGAGCCAATTTGAGCTAATGCTGCTGGAAATTATAAAAAGGTCTTGAGAGGTATCATAATGTCACTACCAAAGGGTGAAACTGTTAGTTTCAGCTGGGCCAAGTTCTGGCTCAGTGACAAGTTCAGTGAACTCAGAGGTGCTACCTGGTTTTAATAAGAGCAATTTGGCTCTGTAATTGAGAGGAACAAAAGCAAAAAGTGGTGAATTCAAAAGGATTGTGTGAATGTGGGAACAGGAGATCAAAAGTCCACAGAGAGGCGCTCGAGCAGCATCATTTCAGTGGAGCCAGGCTACTGCCCAGCCGTGCAGAGATGGTTTCTGTGGGAGAGGAGGCTGGTTTTTAATCTCACTAAATTATCTGCTGTTCTTTGCAAGAAGCCAAATGTCATCCTACCTCTTTGTGTGCTAGCTTGTGCTTTGGAAGTAGGGGAAGTCAGAAGCTGATCTGATAATATTCTCCCACTGAGGGCCAGCAAAGGTTAAGGCTGTTTGGGTAAGCCCTATCTTTACTGATGGAAGGAATATGGTCCTTTGAACAGCAGAAACATGGGCTGCRCTCCTTGTGTCTGAATTGCCTGCCTTGGGGCAGCTGTATCCCACAGTGTCTCACTATATGTATCTTTCAGCCATCCTGAGGAGGAGTTTACAAAGACCTGTGTCCTGTTTGGTCCATGTCTAGTCACTGGAAGGCACTGTGAGACATATAGTGGTGACCAAGGCAGGCTGGTCTTGCTTGTTCTATTTGGGACACACAACCTGGGACACAGCGGCAACCCAGGACCAAATTTCCCCCCATGTTGTGTTTTAAAGATTGTCCCTGAGCACAAAATTGTGTCTAGATCTATGGGAAATAGATACTACGTCCCGTTTCTAACAGCTCCACTCAAACAACTCTCACTGTCCAATCTAGTGTCATGTCACTACCTGTGAAACCGGTTCCCTCTACCAGACTGCAGTTCTTTTCCCTTGGGTCCAGCTATAGCTGAAGTTCTGTTAGTGCTGCTATATATGTGTATATATGTGTATATATATATATATRTRTATATATATATATATGTATATATATGTATAGTGCTGTTCACTAAGCTACACTCTGCAAGTTAATGCTTATGCCAGACATCTCAGTCTAGTTTAAACTGTATTTCTGCAAACCCATATGAGTTTTGCTCGTGTTCCTGATATTGTTTTGTCTAGAACCTGACCTTGACCATGTTTTTAAGGCCAAAATATATAGAGAAATTACTTCATTTTTAATGATGAARCCCTAGATCATCAGAGGTGAGAGATTTGCATCATTACTGGCATGATGCTGTTTGTGTTTGGGCAATTGCCCTGTGGATTTTTAGGTGCTCTGCGTAGCTGAAGGCAGCAGGACTTTGCCTGTGAGAACTGCAGTCTCCAGAGGCCAAGCCGCAGGGCTGTGCTGTGGCCCCACAGRCTGGTAGTGCAGCAGGTTTGTCATGACAAGAGCCAGACCTTCATGGGCACACACCTCCATGCAGTGACAGCACTGCCTCAGCCCCAGGGGAGGCCGCCTTCAAGAGGAGGGCAAGGGGAATGACTCATGTCACTGCAGGGCTGATTGTGCAGGAGGGAACGCGGAGCATCTGAATGGCAAATTGGCTGGGCTGCCAAGGGTGRAATGCTTGTCTGGAGTCGAGCTGGTCAGACCGACCAGCTCAGGTGAACAGATGTTAGAAGGTCTGTGGCAGCCCTGCCGAGCAAACGACAATTCCCCTGGGTGTGAAGGGTCTAACTGGTGTTGCCCTTGGGCTGGGGAGAGAGAGGATGACTGTGTGTGAAGGGGGTTGCACAGGAGATGGAGTGCTGGGTAGGAGAAAACCCCACACTGAGGTATGAGGAAGAAACAATAATTAGGCAAGGAGGAAGAACTCGCCAGGCTACAATCCCGACCTTACTACCTAGTACAGCACAGTATTGCAGAGCGCATATACAGTGAAGGATGTTTCTGTATTAATCCTTTTTGAAACACAGTGGTCTTCTGGAAACATTCAGTATCCTAACTTAGACCACGTGTGGTACTCCGTCACAGCCTGTGGTAAATTGTTCCAGTTGTTGAAATACTTATGATGTTCAAATTTGCACTTGGTTTCTAGCCTAAATAAACCAAGTTCCAGTTCCAGTCATTGGATCTTGCTAGATCTTTGGGAGGTAGAAGAACCTACCAAATAAAGGCCTGGTTCAGCACAGGGATTTTTAAGTTATGTATGTGTGCAAAGAAGACATAGGATACTAAGCAGTTCGTAGTCTCCCTGATGGAGAAGGCAAAGGTCTAACTGTAGCGAAGGAGTTAGGTTACGATTGAGGGAAAAACTTGAGGAAGCATTTGCATAGTTCTCCTGAGAGCCATGAAGTCTCCATCCATGGAAGTAGCCTTGATTTACATAAGGATGCATCAGGATCAAGCATCCATCAGGAAAGACACAGAATAGATGCTGCCTTAGCCAGGGAGATTCACTTAAAATGGGGAGATCTCTTGAGCTTTTTCTAGCCTACATTTCCTGTGCTTCCAAATTTCTAGAAGTCARTTCCTGAAACCTTCCCTATACCCTCTACATTTGGATCTTGTGGCTCTCCGTGAAGGCTGTAGTGTACTGTTGGTGTGGTGAAGGAGAAAGGAGAAAAACATTTCCTGCACAACTCCTGGCATGATATAGAGAAGCAACAGGGCTGGCAATAGGGCAGAGAGAATAAGAGATTCATGGTGGCCCAGGTGGGAATTCAACTACCAGTAGCTTTTGCCCTATGTGGATCTTCCATTTGTCTATTTGAGGAGCTCCTGGCAAAGAGTGCTGCARGGATGGTGGATTCGACAGGGTTACACAGAT